CCACATGACACTGCAGAGGCCTCAAGAAAGGTCACTAACAAAAAGTCCTGCACTGTGGTATGGAGGGGGAGATGTGTCTACTAACGCTATACCCACAGCTACCCCCTGTTGATCCAGAGGAAGGCAAAAAACCCTATAAAGCATGGTTCAATTTGCTCCAACAGGGGAAAAACATCCCTTCCTGATCCCATAAGGCAATCGGATATTCCCTGGATCAACAATCTCTGGTGCTTAATATACCTATAATAACTCAATATCCAGAATTATTCTGTGCATTTAAGAATACATCCAGATGTTTTTAAAAACAATTAACTGAACTAGCTAGAACTAGCTCCTTGGGGAGTCTATTCCACATTTTCACAGCTCTAACTGTGAAGAATGCTTTCCGTATGCAAAAGTTAAACCTCTTTTCCTCCAGGCACAGAGTGCCCCCTTGTCCTTTGCAGTGACCTTAAAGTGAATAATTTGGCACCAAGCTCACTATATGGACCATTTATGTATTTATACATGGTGATCATGTCCCCCCTTAATCGCCTCTTCTCCAGAGAGAACAAATTCAGGTCAGCTAATCTTTCCTCATAGCTGAGCTCCTCCATGCCTCTTATGAGTTTAGTCGCCCTTCGCTGAACTCTCTCCAGTCCCACAACATACTTTTTGTGAACTGGTGCCCAAAACTGAACTGCATATTCCAGATGAGGTCTTACTAATGCTTTGTACAGGGGCAGGATTATGTCTCTGTCTCTGGAATCTAGAATGACCAGCCTCCTTATGGTGCCTACTATTTATCACTTAGCTCCTACTAATTTTACTGTATGAAAATCCCAGTTTTCTTGCTTTTATGCTGACCCTGGACTTCAATACCTTCTAAATCGGAGACCAAGAACTAGAGTGAATGTTAGGAAAGAGTAAAGTCAGAAGTCTCTATTTCTATTCTTGCTCCAGGTCAGTTGCTCAAAGTATTGAAGCGAGAGGGTCAGCCTGTGACTACAGTTTTCAAAAAGAGATGTCAGAAATGGGAGCCTCCATGACTCCGTCAGCAAGGGTTTCCTTCTATCTTCTTCTTTTTCAAGGCATTTGTTTTAAAAGGAGGTCTCACCTATGATCCTCAGACAATTCTGTCCTGCGGTGTTCCCTGCTAAATGAATCAAAGACAAGGCATGGTCATATTCTATCATTCACACATATGTAGTGGTCACAGAACAAACACTTATGACAAACCTGAGGAAATGTTATAACATATAATGGTTGAGGAGATCATGTTCTCCAGCTCTGTTTACACAACTTAATGTGGAACTTCAGGCAAAGGGGGAAATGCACAGTGGTGTTGGGGAGGGGGGAGGGGATTTATCAAATCTGGAGCAGGTAGAATCTGGAGCAGTTGTCCATGGCAACCAATCAGCTTCTAACTTCAGGTTGTACAGTTAAGCTTTGAAAAATTAAGATTGGTTGCTATGCACAGCGCCTCCGGGTTCTGTCTGCTCCACAGAACAAATACATATAAAGTGGGGGGAATTTATCAAAACTGGAGCAGACAAAATCTGGAGCAGATTTGCACTGCAACCAATCAGCTTCTATCTCTCATTTTCAAATCTTAACTGAGCAAACTGAAGAGAGAAGCTGATTGGTTGCCCTGGGCAACTGCTCCAGATTTTGTCTGCTCCAGTTTTGATAAATTCCCCTCATAATGTTTATTGTTTTAAAGTGGAACTGCCACCCACCTCAATCTTATCACCAAAGCCTTCCCCATATATACGATTTGTAATGTAGTCTTCTTGGCGGTGTGATAGCATCACGAGGAGATCTTGAGCCACCTTCATACTACCTTGTTTCCCCGAAAATAAGACACTGTCTTATTTATTTTTTTGTACTAAATAAGACACTAGGTCTTATTTTCGGGGTAGGTCTTATATTACAGAAATCCCTGAAGATAGTGCTAGGTCTTACTTTTGGGGTAGGTCTTATTTTCGGGGTAGGTCTTATATTACAGAAATCCCTGAAGATAGTGCTAGGTCTTACTTTTGGGGTAGGTCTTATTTTCGGGGTAGGTCTTATATTACAGAAATCCCTGAAGATAGTGCTAGGTCTTACTTTTGGGGTAGGTCTTATTTTCGGGGTAGGTCTTATATTACAGAAATCCCTGAAGATAGTGCTAGGTCTTACTTTTGGGGTAGGTCTTATTTTCGGGGTAGGTCTTATATTACAGAAATCCCTGAAGATAGTGCTAGGTCTTACTTTTGGGGTAGGTCTTACTTTCGGGGAAACACGGTAGCAGCAAAGATTGCTAGGCGGCCCCAATGGAGATTTGGGATGTATTTAGATTTTTATATTTTGACTTTATAGATCTGAAGTTTGTTGAGCTTTACCCGTATGGGCCATAGCAATCAATAGCACCTGTGTTAGAAAAATGCTATGATATAAAACTCGGCATTTTTTTACAGCCATGTGCATGAACTCTTAACCCCTCACTCCCTTAAGCTGGTTTAGTCCGGCCCTTTTAATCACTGTTTTACTGTGTTTAATAGCAAATAATAAGTGATCAGACATCCTTACCTGCAAAAGCTTATATCAGATCAGCCTATAACGTATGTAGGACGCATGCGCAGTACAGCGCTTTTCCATGAATCAGGCAATCACCAGCTGATCTGTCGTCACCGGAAGGGACGAGTTTGTCTCATCTAGATTGGTTGATCCGAACGCCGCCCGCTCTATGTTCATAGTAGAGATGGGAAGTTCGGATCTATCAAATGAATCGGTTCATTTGGAACAGTTCATTCAAAAGAACCGATTCATGAATCGAATCTTCGGTTCACTGCCTGAGTCGGCTGACAAGCCAGTGAACCAGGGGCTGACTGGCAACTTTTAGCCCAGGGGGCAAGTACAACCCAGAGGCCCATGGTGCAGCGACTTGGCCCCCCTCACGCTCTGCCTCTTCCTCCGCATTCTCCCCGCCCCTGTCTGTCACTTTTGCCATCTATGTAACAGTAGTTTGAATGTATTATGTATACCTCAGGGCTGTGCGCGTGCATGACTGCTGCGCCACTGGTTGTTCTGCCACTAACTCAGAATTATAAGTCCAGCACGTGGCTGTCAGGAAAAAAAAAAAAATCTCCAACATTTCCTTTTTTATAACGTACAAAAAAAAATTAAGTTTTATTTTTTGCAAAGCCGTCCCATTTTCATGATTTTGTCTCATGCAGCCTCACCTAGGCCATAGCTTGCTGTAAAACATTTGTTTATGTTAGGGCAATGTTGGGATGGAGTTGAGCTTGTTATGTTGTGTTTGTTTTTTGTTTTAATCTGGTGCACTTGAGGCCTTGTTCACACCAAATGCAGAGCAGATTCGGTCAGGTTTCTGCACACGCACGCTAGTCTTTTAGTCGTGTTTTTGATGCGTTCCGGGCTTTTTTTTTTTAAGTTTAAAATGGGCTTTTAGTGTGTTCCAGGCATTAGCATGCGTTTTGATGCAGTTTTTTCACCTGCTCTGGATCTGCTCTGCAACTGCACGCTGCGATGTGAACTGGAGCAAAAAATACCTTTTGGAATACATTGGACGCAGTTTTGATCCGGTCTGCACCTGCTCTGCTCTGGATCTGCTCCGCGCTTGGTGTGAACAAGCCCTTAGCGTCTTTGTGGAGTTCTTTAAATACACACTGTCAGCACTGAACTATGTTGTAATGTTAATTTTATGTTTCTTTCTGCCTTCCAGGAGCTCAGTGTTGGTTTATTTAACCATCTGTTACAACCAAAGGGGAGCTCAGAGGCTCTTCAAGATGTCCACTTCTTGTGCTGTGACATTGACCCTGATTTGATCAGCAGAGCTAAGACTGGAAACCCCTTCCCCGATTCCCTCACGTTCTCTTCTCTAGATATCATGGACCCCTCTTCACTGGACATCTTACAGAACTTCTTGAACAAGTTTGGCCAAGCCAGGTTTGACATTGGATTTTGTATGTCAATAACCATGTGGATCCATCTAAATCACGGTGACCAGGGGCTGGTGCAATTCCTCAAGAAGCTAACGACGCTGTGTGACTATTTGCTTGTAGAGCCTCAGCCATGGAAGTGTTACAGGTCAGCAGCCCGACGTCTGCGGAAGCTGGGGAGACAAGACTTTGATCACTTCCACACACTGGCCATCCGTGGTGACATGACAGAACAAATCATTAACATTTTGGCCAGGCACTGCAGTAGTGAGCTTGTTCATCGTTTTGGTAACACAAGTTGGGATCGAAGTCTGTTACTGTTTAAAAACAGATCAACAAAATGACCTGGCTAGGTTTCTATGAACTTCTTCTTTTTCTTTTGTTAGCTTTTTATAGAAAGGGATTTTGCAAAAACAGATCTTATAATGAAATAAACATAACAACTATATATTGCACTGACTGTAAATAAACTTCAGAACTGTATATTGTAAGTTATCCCATACTACACAATTCATGTTCTTAGGATAGGGATGTTCAGATACCAAGCACCATACTCGGTACAAGTACAGATACTTTTCCAGCACCAAGACTAGACTAGAGAAGAATTCAAAAGTTTAGCGGCAGCTGTCATTTGTAAGGAGCACACGGAGATCCTGGGATTTGTACATCTCTGTTTTTATGGTATGATTTTGTTTTTATAAATACATATAAGTGATGCACTGATACCATTATTTCCAAGTCCTCACAGATATGAGTACTGATACGTTTTTGTTTATTGTCATGTGACAGTTTTCCAAAAACAATACAGACGAATGATTTCAGGACAGTGGTGGAGCACCAGAGCCAGGTCACAGCTGCAACCCTAGTAGTTCTCGTGAACATGCAAAGTATCGGCACTGGTATCTGAATATCCCTACTTTAGTACATTTGTCTTTTTTTTTTCCCTTCACCCTCAGATCTTACCAAACCAAAGCATATACCTGTTAAGAACAATAGCAGGAACCTATCCTCGCGTCCTGTCTGTCCAGTACACCTTCTGGCTGAAATCTTAAGGAATCCTACTCTCTCTATTGGCACATGCATGCCGTGGCCTCCATTTACGTCAATGGGACACCCAGCTGTCAGTCTGCAGATGGACTTTCCGGTGAAGTGAATAGAGCTTGTACTATACGGTAGCCAGAGGCTGTGTGGTTTTGGACTGCAATTTAAAACAGGATTAGTGCTCTAAAAGAGCACTTATTCTTCAGAGGAAAAATCTATGTAAAATAGAGGTTTAATTTTCAGCTAGATTCAAGTAAATTAATATCTTGCTTTCATGCAGGTCAGGGGCAGGTAAACTCCAGCTGTGGTGTGGTGCAACTACAAATCCCATTCAGCATTAGAAGACACTGACAGCTGCAGGCTGTGTGTTGTTTTACCACATAATGCAACAATCTAAATAGGCTCTAATGCAGGCTTGTAACATCTATTTTTAATTCTTTTTAGCACGCTCTTACCCTCAATAATATGGACATAAGCGCACCTTGATGTGCATTTATTATAACACATGTTAATGTACATCCTTTTGTGAAATGATGCATTAGAATTACATAAGAAATCTCTATCTGTAGTGTGAAGTGAAAGCAATTATAGTGACCTAATTCTCTTTGCTAACATTCTACAGGCCTCCTATATGTAGGGTACAGCAGGAAATATCGTGTAATTTTTTTTTTCTTTACTGCATGGAAAGGCTACATATACATGAATTTACTTTGTCAGCTCCTTTATCTGCATTGAAACCGTCTGTTTATACCTGGTGATAGAGCATCAATGTGTCTTAGCCCTTGTGCACACCATATCTGTTCAGCTGTATTTGTCTGCACACCACCGCACATATATGATGTTAACAAGGCACATAGAAAACAATTGTTCTCTATGTTCCCTGTTTACATCATACATGTGCGGTGGGGTGCTGAAAAGCACAGCTCAATGGACACGGTATGAACAATACTGATAAAAGTGCAATACTGTATCGCACCAGTAGGTGGAGCTGCTGCCTACAGCATAAATCAGAGGGGACCAAAGAAACACGGGGGGGGGGGGGGGGGGGGGGGGAGGAAGG